TGGGAATCCATGGGAACCCCATGGGAACCCCACGAGAACCCCACGAGAACCCACGGGAACCCACGGGAACCCACGGGAATGGGGAAAAACTCCCCAGAGTGGACAGCGTGGTGGGCACAGTGGCCGGAGCGGCGTGGGATGGTCACTCGAGGGCCGGACAAGGACAAGGGACACCCCCCGGCCAAGGGGGAGGAGTTCCAGTGGAATCTCGGAGTGGTGGGGGAAGGGAGGGAGGCTCCGGAACGGTCATTCCTACTCCAGGACAAGGGGTATCCCCATGGGAATGGTCATTCCCACCCCAGGACCAGGACATCAGAGGGAATGGTCATTCCTGCTCCAGGACAAGGGACATTGCCATGGGAATGGTCACTCCCACCCCAGGACAAGGGACATCCCCACGGGAATGGTCAAATGGTCATTCCCGCCCCAGGACCAAGACATCGCCATGGGAATGGTCATTCCTTCCTCGGGACCGGGAATGGGGCAGAACACTCGGACATCGCCATGGGAATGGTCATTCCCGTCCCAGGACCAGGACATCGCCATGGGAATGGTCACTCCCACCCCAGGACAAGGGACATCCCCACGGGAATGGTCAAATGGTCACTCCGACCCCAGGACCGGGACATTCCCACGGGAACGGTCATTCCCACCCCTGGCCGGAGTGGCCGGAGTGGCCGGAGCGGATTCACACTCAGACCTCATCCCTGCGGGATTTCGCACCGGGATCCCATCCCCATTTCCCAAAGGATCCCTCGAGATTTTCATGTGGGAAAATGGGAAGAGGTTTTAACTTTTGTGCTCGGGAATGAGTGAAAAACCCCAAATCTGGTGGATTTTGGATCCGGGAATGGGGAATTTCGGCCCAAAGAACAGAGGATTTTGGCCCAAGAAATGGGGAATTTTGGCCCAAGAAATGGGGAATTTTGGCCCAAGAAATGGGGAATTTTGGCCCAAGAAATGGGGGAATTTGGCCCAAAGAATGGTGGATTTTGGCAACCCAAGGAATGGGGAATTTTGGCAACCCAAGGAATGGGGGATTTTGGCCCAAAAAATGGGAGATGGCCTGGATGAGGGGTCAGGGCTGGGAAATCCAACCCCTGCCCCAATCTGAGGGATTTTAAAATCCCAAAATTACCCCAGGTGTCCACAGGTCTGAGCTTGAGGGTTGTGGAGGAGGGAAAGGAAAATAAATTTGGGATTAAAAATCTTGGGATGGGATTTTAGAGTCCCAAAATTACCCCTGGTGTTCACAGTTGGCGCTCAAGGGTTGTGGAGGAGGGAAAGGAAAATAAATTTGGGATTAAACTTTTCGGGATGGGATTTTAGGGATTTTTTTTATTTTTTGGATTTTAGGGATTTTTTGGGATTTTTTTTAATTTCTGGAATTTTTTTGATTTTTGGGATTTTTGAGATTTTTGGGATTTTAGGGATTTCGGGGATTTTGGGGATTTTTGGGATTTTTCGGGCTGGTTTAACCCCCCGAGCTGCTGCACGGAGCTCCTCGTCGCGCTCTGCAGTGGAACAGGAGGAAAACAGAGGAGAGCGCGGCGGCTTCGGCCACGGCCACGGCCACCACCCTGCCCGGGTTATCCAAACGGGGCTCTGCAGAGAGGGAAAAATCCATGAATCTCATCCCAAAACAAACCCGGCTCTTCCTGGTATCGGGACACAGGGAATCTGACCCCAAATCCTTCCCC